GACTCTCTCTCTTATCTGTTGAAAACCCCATTCTGTTCCAAGTAGGAATCAGTTATCTGCCCTCTGCAAAGTTATTGTTTAAGTGAAGAAATAAAAAATAAGATCTTAATGTAAAGCTGAACTGAACAATAAAATAAAAATTAAATATGAACTAAAATAAATATCAATAAAAGCAAAATAATATATAAAACATGTTATATATAACATATTGTATATAACATAAATAAAAATGAGAATGAGTAGAAGATATCAATACATTTTATTCATCAACTACCTATGGAGTAACTTCTGCATGAACACTGAGAAAGACTGAGGGGAGAGAGTGGTAAATTCAACGCAGTCGCTCTTCTCACGGAGCTCATAGACTGAGCGAGTCATTGTAATAAGAATGGCCACTGTTAGCAAAGGCAGAGTGATTTGAAAATGAAGGAAGCTCTCCAATCATTTCAAATTTAACATGAACATTGATGAAATATGGAAGTAGGATTAATAGAAAAGTATAATGTGAGCACACATCAGGGCCCAGAAAGCAAAGCCAGAACAAATTGAGACTTATGAAACATCCCAAGACAATGGCAAGGTAATTGAGTACTGTTCGGAGCAGGGGAATAAATATTGAAAGGTTTACTACTTGCACAGGATAGTATATGTTGAGTTGGAAGAAACTGTTCAACTAATTGCACTGATGCATTAAAGGAAAGAAATGGACTGGAAAGAGTTGAAGAAGTTCGAAGCTCAAGGTGGAGAAGTGGTGTAAAGTGTGCTTGAAAGGAGCCATGTCTCCAGAAGAACATGTCAGTGACATCACACCTCCATAAGCTATGAAATCCCAGGAAACATGAAAAATACCAATTCCCGTCTCATCTTCACATTCACACAGTCCCAGCGACTGAGAAGCCCTTTATCATGTTGTGCTTTCAGTTTATAGTTTTACAGATATCACAGATATACTGGAAGGAATCTGGCTCAGTCATTTTCTTCCAGATAATCAAACAATTTTATTTTTTTAAATGAATAATGTATAAAATCTGTGTAATTTTAGAATATTTATAAAATTATAACAGGAATCATCAGTACTTTTAGTGCTTTGATGTTTGAAGAAATACAATGAAATGTATAGATCTGTAATTACTTAAACTAGGCAGTTGAAATGGCTCTGAAGGCTCACTGTAAACCAAGATTCCACAAATAACTATTGGAATTGCACCATAAACATTGTCCGGTGATTTAAAAAGCTGAGAAATGGGATAAAGTATTGGATAAGAATGATGTGGTTATCTAGTTAACCTTTCATTGCTTGTTTATTCCTTTTTAGGAAGACATTTTAGCACTTCTTTATGTCAGGCACTGTGCTATTCAGTAGTGACACAAAGTTTAATAAGTAAAAGACTGGAGCCCTGGCCTCATGAAAGCTCACACTCTAGTTGGAAGTAAGTAGGACATGGGCACATATAGTAAATTGTGATACATTTAATAAACGAACTTCCGAGCATCAGACAATAATCAAGAGAATTGCATGTAATTAAGTCTTTTGACAGGGATAGGGAAGATGTCAAAAAGAAAAAGATGCTTTGTTGAAGTCTTATTTTTGTTGTTAATTAAAAAAACAAATTGCCTGTTGAGTATAGATATGTGCAGAAACTTATAAAGGTACCAACCATTTTAAAATATTTTAGAAATCAAGTAGAAAAATCAAGTCAGATGATCCACAAAAGTAGATTTATAGTTAATTGTTTAACAAAATACAAATAGATAAACTTGAGAAATCAGTGCCAACCAACGTTTAGCTGTGTGTTACAAAGCCATGCACTTGACATTGATTTATGAAGTATTTGTATCAATGATGTGGATGAACACATAAAACATAACTGGAAATGATAACAAAGCTGGGAGGGGTGGTTAAAACATGGCATACAAAATTAAAACAAAGACCAGCGGTAATAAGTCATATGTAATAAGATGCATTTAATTATCAATAATAATTGTGAGTTCGCCTTAAAATAATTAAATAAATATGGGATTGTAAACACCGTGACATCAGAGCATAGAACTCCTGTTATGACACAATGTGATTCAGATGCAAAAACAGACAATGAGCACTGGATGCTTATGTAACATTAACAGAAGTGTGCGGTCATTTCTTGATGACATTTGTTACCATATCTGGCTCCCATTAGACTCAAGTCAAACTAAGTGCAGTCCTGGGAACATAGGCATACTTTTATGTGCTGTAATGTGGATTATTTTGGCAGGGACTTAGAGACCAGAGGTATCTAAAACATCAAGGATGGCAAAGAAAGGAACTTAAAACACTTAAGCAGCAGAAGCAGGTGCAGGCCAGTGGGTTAGGTACCCTGGACGGATCATCTGAAGGCACAATGACAGATGTCCTAGAAAGCCAACTGTGTGTGGTCTCAGCAAGTGTGAGCTACCACAGCACTAGGAAAAAGTGCAAGCCCCACTTGGACTCAAGTGGATCCTCACTCCAGATGAATGACTCTACAAAGGAATTGAAATAAAGGGAAAAAATGGCACCATCTGAAAGGCCTCAGAGACGAAGAACAAGGCAAGACCCTGTTTCTAGAGGTAATGGAACATGAGGAGGAGAACAATGGAACGATCATCCTGAACATTGAAGAGGAGACATGGCCTGTCCTGAAGAATCACAGCACAGCTAACAGCAATGCAGATGTCTTAGTGTCCCAAATGCTCCTGCCTAGATCAGGTTTGATCCCTGATTCATGGACTGGGCAGAGTCTACAGGTGACAAGCATTTTCCCATCTGGGAAAATAAGATTTACAGAGCTAATCAGGTTACATAAATAATTCAATATTCCCTCAACTCCACTTGGCAGTTGATTCATTCTGAGTGAAACGCATTAATTGAATACTATCCCGTGGTTGATCACTGTGCTAGATTCAGAGACTGTGAAAACAAATGAAGTCAGTGCTTTGACAAAGAATTTTTACAGGTAATGAAGAATCATTAGATTTTTAAAGCCAGCACGTAATGGGTTTGGTTTTAGAATGATAGCTAACAGCAAATGCAAGGGTTTATAACCTATTCACATGATTGAGAAATAATGTTAAAGAAATGTAGTCTGGTTTAAAATATATGTTAAAAGATATTACATATGTAATGTTTTGTATGTATCTTAGTTGGGAAATAATTTTTGGGAAATTGCAGAGAATATACCAAAATAATTTAGATCAATTTCTAATTGCCTAAGTAATATATATTTTCTTTGCCAAAAATTCTAATAATATAGGCATGCAGTTTGGTCATATTTTATGTGAATTTGAATTATTTAAATATGAAGCAGAATGTATATAAAGTATTTATAGATCACACTGCTTGAGAAAAATGTTAAACAAAGCAAATAACCCTAAATTTAAAAATCATTGAAATGATAGATGAGATGAACCAAAGAACTTATATGCATCAATGCATAGCCAATGGACATAGACAACAATGCTAGGGGGTTGGGGGGCGCGATGGGGAGGAGGGGTATGGGGGGGGGGGAGAAACATCTATAACAAAAATAAATTCATAAAAATTGGAGGAATAAAAAATCACTGAAATGTGTACATTGTAAACTGTTTACACTTGCCACAAGGTGGTGCCATAGTGATAACTGGCCAGTAATGTTAAGTATTCTTTCTATATCTTCTCTGCATTTACATCATTATGTAATATGTTTATAACCATAGTCATAATTTGAGGCTTTCTTAATAAGTGAAACTCACTGTCTTCAGTAAATCAAACATGTTGGGGATCCACCTGATTCCTTAACTGTTGTCTAATATTTCTTAGTGAAAAAATACTGTAATTCACTGAACAAGTCCACATCAGTGGTCACATGAGTGTCTTATAATTGTTCACTAAAGCAAATGATGCATAAAGAACATTCTTGAATAATTACCTTTGTATACATAGGAAGTGTGTCTGGAGTATATACTTTACCAAAAGAATTTCTGGTTCAAAGCAAATGAACCTTTTAAATTCTAATAAACATGGCCCAGTTGATTTATTCAAAGGTTCTAACAATTGAAGCTCTAAGCAACATTGTATGAGAATGCTCATTTTCTTTCGTATTGCCACGACGGAATGTTTTCTAACTTTCTAATGTTGCCACCGGATGTAAAAATGTTGTTGGTAATTTATCATTCCTTCATTAGTCATGAGGTTGAATAGCTTTTACAGTTTTTTGTAAGCTTTTATGTTTTTGTTCAGTGATTTCCCAGCTCGTATCACTTGCCCATTTTTTACTTTTTTTTAAGGGGTTATATTCTTTGTTGTCGTTGTGTTGGATTATGTAATATGTTTATAATTATGTAATATGGTCTGAACTTTCCATATGTTATGGATATTAGTCATTAGATTGTTGTGTCTGTTATTTGGTTTTCTCTTATCTGTCACTTATCTTTGAATTTTGATAATAGTGACTTTAATTGCAAATGAGTTTTTTTTTTTTTTTTTGGTGGTCAAACTATTGGTTTTTGTTTTGTTTTGATTTGCAAAATTTTAAATCTCTACAAAGGTATTTATTTTATATGACTGTAATGCAACTATATAATTTTTTAACAGTTAATATTTTTGTACATGTGGAATTGATGCATAGCCAGTTATTTGAGCATAATGTATTGAATAGACATTTTGCTTCTCCAGTGATTTGGAATATTCCCTTTACCATGTACCAGTTCCAAACATACATGATTCTATGGCCAGATATTCTATACTATTCTACAACTGCCAAAATATTCATATTTCCACACAAATAATGAATCACAGAATTATTCCCCCTTCCAAGAAGCAGGAAGGAGTTCAGCAAGTTAAGGGATTTGCATGAAACCCTTGACCACACACTGGTGGCCAGCCTGGGGCTGGGAACCCATTTGTCTTATTTCTTAGTATTTTTTCTCATTCTGCTGTAAACTATAATTTGAAACCAACAGAAGATAGGCCACTTTTATCCTTTGTTATTTTGACTCTTTTTCAGTAACAGAGGAAGTATGTAGAGGGTCCCCATGCCAGAACGGGGGCACGTGTATAAACGGAAGAACTAGCTTCATCTGTGCTTGCCGGCATCCCTTCACTGGTCACAACTGCACCGTCAAGGCAGTGGAAGAAAATGCTTTAGCTCCAGGTAAGAAAGTGCATGCACCCTGGAGTGTGTTCAGTGTCTTAATGCAAAAACATTTTTGAAGTATTTACAAATGAAAATTTAAGCCTGCTTCATCTGGGCTCACTTGAGGATTAAATCCTTTTACTTCTGAAATTTATCAAATAAGAAATGTGATTGACAAGTGGAAATGTCTTGTTGTCAGGTAAATTCATATTGATGTACACTTGTTGACAGTTTCCATATTGGTATAATAGAGACAGTCTTTTTTCCCCATTGCATCTTAAAAGGAAAACTCTATCTCCTTAAACAAGTTGTTAAACAGCACACCTTTGATTCCTATCATATAAGGTCATTTGAATGAAGTTTTTGTAAGTGCTTACCAGCATAGTATGTCTTCCATAAGGTCAAGGTAAGAGTGCCTTTTAACTGGGTAAGGACTGGTCAAACATGCTCACATGTATTGAGTAGAATAGATGCCTTCTTCCCCCATGTACTTTTGTAATTATTGTTCACTATAAATTTACTTCAAGAGTCTACCATTTCTGATTATTTTTGTACAAGAAAATATATACAACACTTAAAATGTATTCTCTTGCCCTGGCTGGTTTTGCTCAGTGGTTAGAGCATTGACTTGCGGTCCAGAGAGACCTGGGTTTGGTTCCCGCTAAGGGCACGTACCTCAGTTGCAGTTTGTCCCCGGCCCTGGTTGGGTTGTGCAGGAGGCAACCACTTGATGTGTCCCTTTCACATCGATGTTTCTCTCTCTCTCTTTCTTCCTTTCTCTCCCTCCCACTCTATCTGAACAAAAAGTGAGGATTAAAAAAATGTATTCTCTTTAATGAGAGCAAAAAACATATTTCAAATCAGGCTTTTGATATGCTGCATAGTGAAGAGTGCATTTTTTTAGTCTGTTTTTAAACCTCGGCCTTTGTTAGTACATTTGGTGTTAATTACATAGAAAATTCCTTTTGTCTACTTCTCTGTAGTGCATATGACTTCATTTGGTTTTCGTTAAAGCCTCTAGAAACTGTTTGACAAGGTGCTGGAAAATTTGTTTCCACATCATGTCAGCTTAATTCCTTCAAGGAGCTTTAAAACATTCTGGCATACCATAATAATCACCAAGTGCTTTGAATTCCTTTATCTCTGGAGAGATTAAAGCAATATGCAAATTAATCTTTGCGGCACTTTTATGAGGGAGGTAGAATGTTATTATTATTCTATCCTGATCTAAATGGAGAAACTGAGGCTCTGAGACACTAAGTGATTTCGGGTTACTCAGACATAGAAGAGGTAGGCATCCAGACACATCTGCCCTTGTTAAATATGATGAATGACCTTTCTCTTGTGCTAATCCTATTTGTAACTGAGACAAAATGATAAAGATATGAGGAAAGGTAAAACATAAACATTAATGCTTTCTTTCTTTTTTTTTTTTTTTCTTTAACAGATTTTTCCAAAGGATCTTACAGATATGCACCGATGGTGGCATTTTTTGCATCTCACACGTATGGCATGACGACACCTGGCCCTATTCTGTTTAATAATTTGGATGTCAATTATGGATCTTCATATACTCCAAGAACTGGAAAATTCAGAATTCCATATCTTGGGGTGTATGTTTTTAAGTATACCATTGAGTCATTTAGTGATCATATCTCTGGATTTTTAGTGGTTGATGGAAGAGACAAGCTTGCATTTGAATCTGAAAATATTAACAGTGAAATACATTATGATAGGGTTTTGACTGGGGATGCCTTACTGGAATTAAATTATGGGCAGGAAGTGTGGCTACGACTTGTAAAAGGAACAATTCCGGTCAGGTATCCCCCAGCTACTACCTTTAGTGGTTACTTGTTGTACCGTACATAAGTTAGTATGAAAGATCGACTCTCACCCCTCCTGAGAGGCAGCCAGTGTTTTCATTTACCTCTGCATGTACATCTGCTCTGTTTGTAGTTCTTCTACACAACACAAAAATCAACTTTTTAAATCTGAGTACGGCTATAAGTTTATCTCATAAAATTATTTGATATCTTTTAGATAACCTGACTATGAAGGAGTCCTAACGAGATGTAGAGGCACAGGAAACAAAGCACATGTGTTATCATAACTATTTTGGGGGCATGTTAAGTCATTTCAATGTAAAGTAATAGAAACGGTAATCGCTCAATATTATCACAGTAGTCTTTCCAATAAAACATTAACTTGTGTTATTCTCTGAATATATAAATATTAAGATATATTTCTTGACATCACAAATTCAAACACATTTCTCAAAGACCAAGAAGTGTTTTCTTATTTTGATATTTACTATTTACTGTTGAGTTGATCTATTTTGTATATGAAATATTTCATTTGTAATCAAAATTAATAAAGTTGAGTTTGACACTTGACATATGCTTCACTGTACTCTCTCCTTGTAATTAGAGGATAATGTAATCACTGACAAATACTTGAACATTTACAACCAAGTCTAAGAATATATAAGTGGATCTCTCGGTTGTCTTCATTACACAGTATCTGCAGGGGGAAACAAAACCTTTCTCTAAGAATGTCCTTCTGCGTCAGCACATTTCCGTTAGAAATTAGTTGAGTAACAGTCTTTGTCTTTATCAAAGGCAATTTTTAATATAATAATGTATCTTATTAGTCAAAACTGTTTGCCTGTCCTCTATCCTTGCAAGGCACCTGTGGGACACATTAAAGCAGAAATGATAGGCCTGCCCTTCTCAGATTATACATTGGGTTGATCCTCCCGTTCAAGGTAGAGATGTGTGCTGCCCCAGCGATTTCGAACCCAGCGTTTCATCAAGGAGCTGAGGAGTGTTATAAAGCGCCTTCCCCTGAGAGCTTTTACCACAGCTCAGTGAGAATCTTCAATGAGCTGTACTGAGTTTGCGTTTAGAGAAAACAATCACAAAGTCGTGTTCATTTCTCTCGGCTGACATACTAATTAAACAATCTCAAATTCTGGAAAAAGTCCAAACTTTGGTGTTTTTTATATTTTATTTATTTATGGAATGCTTAATGCATTATCAAAGCCTAGGCTTAAGTTGAACATTTTCCAGATACCAAGTGTTGAATGTAGTAACATTCAGAATGTTTTTAAATGTTATTTTCACAATTGTAAAAATACCAGTCTAGAGCAGATCCTGGTTTAACATGATTTCCTATTAGCACTTAGATTCAAATGGCAAGTTATGTCAACCTCACTGAAGATTACAATGAAAATGCTGCATGGCACAACCTAGAAGTCAGTGGGGTGTTTTTATTTTCAGCGTATTTGAATCTAAATCCAAAAATTTGGATTCAAACACATATCCGAATTTTCAATTTTTTTTAATTCAAATAAATATTGTACCAAGTCCACTCAAGTTAAGAGTGCAAGTGCTATCTGACATGACCAAAGGGTGCATGTTCTTATAAATGCTACTCTATTTTGCTTACTTTTGCAACTAAGAAGATATTGACTCCCTAGACTCTTTTTACCAGAATACAGACAATTACAGATAGTTTCCAAATTTTTTTGTCATTTACTTCCCTTCATTTACCTTGCTGTCACCATCATCACTACCAAAGCATTAATCATGCTGAGTCTGTATAAAGATGACCACATGTCTATTTCTTCATCTACATGAAATTTGTGAATTAGGAATGACAATAATCTGCCAGAAAAACATATGTAGGAAAATTCATTTAGTTACACTACTTAGCCATTTCCAAAATGATTTCATGTGGCTAGATGGATAATTTATAAGAAAAATATTAAACTTTCACAAAGACAGTTGCTACTTATGTACCAAACTTAAGCTAAGAACATGTGCTCTTTTTAATCCTAACTTTACAGATATATTTACATGCTCTAATAGTCATGACCTGTCACAAGTAATCTGCTGTTAACAAATACTCTACAGAGAGGCCACCACCAATAGCCTCAGCCCCTCTTTCAATTTCCCACTGTACTTTGTTTCTTATCTTACCATTGTCAATTTGCTTTTTAACGAACATGTTTAGATCTCTTTAATCCTGCTGAGAAGGCAGCTACTAATAGTATGGAAATACTTCTGTAGATGAAATATAAAAGACCCTCCAGAGATTGCATGTCTTTTTAATGTGACTTTCATTGCCCTTTCTGAATACTGTCATTAGCATTTTTTTGAATTGTGATTCTATTTCATAAGCTCTAATTGTATTTTGTTTAAACGGTTGGCACACTGACTGGTCATCAGTGGGCTTTAGCTTATCACAGAGCTCTATATTCACAGCAAACTATGAACTCTACAGCATACAGTGAACAGAAACAATGAACAAAGACCATCACTGCATTTATCTGTCATTTTGACTTGTCTCTTCCCATGTGGTATATTCCAAGTAGAATATGTTTGAGAAAACAACAACATTGTTATGAATAACACACCTATATATCCTAAAGGCATTCTGGAGAGTTACAAAAGAATATATCCTTTTATACTTAAGAAAGACATTGTAGATATCACTGGAGCAATATTGGTATCTGAAAACTGATCTGTAATCGATTTTAGACAATGGGAAGACTCTGATGCCTGTAGAGTACCTTAGACTTCTATTGGTCCCAATGGCCCAGATAAAGTTCTTGGCACAGCAGCTAGTAGAAGATCACTGAGGTCAGTAAATGCATAAAACATGCAAGGATTGTGAAAATAATTAAATATCTTTGTTATCAGTGGAAGTGGGGTACCCTTTCCGCGCTGAGTGCTAGGGGCGGAGTCCTTACTATATCTCAAGAAAAAGAATTTTTTGAGACTCGCATGGGAGGATGAATAATTTTTATTTATGCTTTCAAAGTCCCATTCCCTTCAGTCCAGTACTGGAAGAAGTGCAACTGGGGATTCAGCAGGGCTAAAAACAAAGCCAGTGTCCAGAATTTCCATTCTATGTTGGAATTGGGTCCGGAGTAGCATTAGGCTAGTTGCAGTCCATTAGTCTATTGTGTGTGGGGTCCATATGTTCGTGAGCCATGTGGGTGAATGCAGGGGAGCCAAGAGAGCATGCCCCCTGCAACAAGAGTCCCAAGAGAACCAAGAGCAACTAAGAGAGACCAAGAAAGTCCAAGCACGAGCAAAAGCAAATCAAGAGAATGCCAAGAGCAGCAAGAGAATGAACTTCTTTGTTTAAGGAATTAAATATTCTACATCATCCCACTTGCAGTGGCCACGCCTACTCTGACCAGTGACCTGTTCCCATGTGACAGGCAAGTACCTTTCCTATGTCACCCAGACTTTACTGGGCGTGTGTCTAGTCTCCCACTATTAAGTACCTTCCCCCAGTGACCTGTGGGGAATAGACTTGAAGCCCCTTGAGGAGTGTTACACTACAGCTTCTGGGCAGAGCTTCACAAATTGCATGCCTATAATATCTGGCCTTCTCCTTGCTCCTTTCCTGCTATTAATAACTAGGTTAATTATAATGGTATCAGCTTGAGTTAATAAATTAAATTTTAGAAAATTTCCTAGTAAAACTTATTTTCCTCACCTTAATGGAGACATAGTTGAATTTATAACCACCAACCCAAAACAACTCTTAATTTCTCATTTTGAATCTGGGAAATAAAACATGACATCTATCTTAGTCTTATATTGTTATCTTTGTCAGAAGTTTTAGACCTTTGATGAACACATCAAAATTTCTTTTTTTTTTTAAATAATTTTTTTATTAATTTATTTTTGTTACAGATGTTTCTCCTTTTTTTCCCCATTAACACCCTCCTCCCCTTCTTCCCCACCCCATACCCGTCTTGTTGTCCGTGTCCATTGGTTATGCGTACATGCACATAAGTTCTGTGGTTTATCCCTTCCCTCCAGCCACTACCCACTCTTCTGAGGGTTGTCAGTCTATACCCTACTTCCATGTCTCTGGGTCTACCCTATTCCTCAGACTGTTATGTTAATTATATTAACCCCTTATCTGATATGTTGTTGGTAATTATGCTCTCTCATACAGTGGGTGGCCTTTCATTTTGGTGGTTGTTTCTTTTGCTGTGCAGAAGCTTTTGAGTTTGATGTAGCCCAATTCCTCAGACTGTTATGTTCATTATATACCACAAATAAGTAAGATCATGTGATATTTGTCTTTCTCTGCTTGGCTTGTTTCACTTAAGATAATACTTTCCAGGTCCCTCCATGTAGTCTCAAAGGATAAGAGATCTTTCTTTCTTATAGCTGCATAGTACTCCATTGTGTATATATACCACAATTTTTTTATCCAATTGTCTACTGATGGACACTTGGGATGTTTCCAGATCTCAGTTATTGTAAATAGTGCTGCTATAAAAATGGGGGTACATATATTCTTTCTGATTGGTGTTTCAGGCTTCTTAGGGTATATTCCTAGAAGTGGGATCACTGGGTCAAATGGCAGTTCAATTTTTAATTTTATGAGGTAACACTGTATTGTTTTCCATAGTGGCTGCACCAGTCTGCATTCCCACCAGTAGTGTACTAGAGTCCCCTTTTCTCCACACCCTCGCCAACACTTGTTGTTTGAGGATTTGTTGATGGCGGCCATTCTGACAGGTGTAAGGTGATACCTCATTGTTGTTGTAAATTGCATCTCTCTGATGATTCATGATGTTGAGCATTTCTTCATATGTCTCTTGGCCATTTATATGTCCTGTTTGGAGAGGTGTCTATTTAGTTCCTCTGCCCATTTTTTAATTGGGTTCTTTGTCTTCCTTTTGTTGAGTTGTATGAGCACGCTATATAATTTGGAAATTAACCCCCTATCTGATTGATATATTGTTGATAATTATGCTCTCCCATACAGTGGGTTGCCTTTCCATTTTGGTGGTTCTTTCTTTTGCTGTGCAGAAGCTTTTGTTTGATGTAGCCCAATGTGTTCATTTTTTCTTTGTATCTGTTGCCTTAGGTGATGTATCAGTGAAAATTCTGCAGTGTATAATGTCCAAAATTTTGATGCCTACATTGTCTTCTAGGATTTTTATGGAGTCATGGGTCACATTTAAGTCTTTTATCCTTTTTTTTTTTTAATTGATTAATTTTTGTTACAGATGATTCTCCTTTTTTCCCCCATGATTCCCCCCTCCCCCTCCCCTCCCTGCCCCTTACCCAGATTGTTGTCCATGTCCACTGTTCATGCATACATGCATATAAGTTCTGTGGTTCATCCCTCCCCCACCTCCCCACTCCTTAGGGGATTGTCAGCCTGTACCCGGCTTCCGCGTCTCTGGGACTACCCCATTCCTCAAACTGTTATGTTCATTATATTCCACAAATCAGTG